AATCAAATTGACAGTGTTGAGAGAGATGAATGTTTTGAGATTTTATTTTGGGAGTACTGTTTGGCGAGTGGTTGGTGGGTAATTGCAATGTGTTTGACTAGAGCGTGTGTAAAGGAGCCAATGGCATTGACGATAGGATGAATTGGGATATGATGTAGAATGTGTTGATGAGTTTCGGGTTGAATTATTATCACAATCGATCAGAATATTCCTTAATTTTTTCCTGAAAATTTTCAGGAAAAAGTTCTTCAGGCTCCTGAGAATTTCAATTAATTCCAGATTTCTCATTATTTATGGTGTTGTTAAGCCTGGCGTTTAGTTAACACATCCAAAGTTATAGATCCACATTGAATCCCCATGTAGAATAGTGTAACTTATACATATTATTGAATTGATTTTTAGATCTTGAATAATTCTCCCAATTTCTCCGAACAATAGTCATAATCTGAATTTCTACAAATTATTACGAAATAATGATTTTGACAGCTTGTATATTCTGAATGCTTTTAGTGCATTATACTAGATTAATTTTAGATTAGACTCCAATTTACATTTTTTTAGAAAATAAAAATGTCGTTATAAATAAGTATAAGATACTTTTTATGACCAGAAAATTTTTAAAAAAGTAGTAAAATAAAAATAGATTTAACGCCAATTAACAATATTTCAGTTCCTTTTTTCATATAATTCTACAGAACTCTGTATTAAAAGTATTTTTCTAATATTATCTATCTTTATTTCAGATATTTGGAACGACAAGACTTTTTACAGCGAGCAGATTTGAGGAGGTTCGAAATCGAAAAGAATGTCAGGTCCATTGAAAGGAGTAAACGGTTTAATAGTACGCTTTAAGTAGAGGGTATAAAATATCAAGCTCAGTATTGTGATCTATGTATTTATTTTTACATTCCGAATTGTTATTTTACATTCTGAATTGTTTCAGTTCATAAACAACCATCTACACGTTATTTGCATCATGTATGACTAAAGTGTATATGACTCTCATTAAACTGTATTTATTGTATAAACGTGCTATTTTTATTCTCTTGGCTATTGGCTTGACGTGTGTTCTGTTGCTCAAATTGGCCATAGTTCTTATAATTTTCTTTTGGCTCACCAATACTTGACAACAAGCCGGGATTGTTTTCCATAAGAGAACCCCATATACAAGACATGGCTTCCAGTGGTGTTCATTCAAATGAGCTCGTCGAGAAAATGTTCAAATGCTGTCAAAAAAAGCTAGTAAAAATTGCAGTTTGTGTAATATCTGGTAGTGTATTTCACAATAGTTGTATAGAAAGAAAAATATACTTCAGAATTGATGAAACAC